GCGACACAATCCGTGACTTGTATAGTGCGACAATGCCGGCAACAAACATCTTGTGGTCGCTAAATTATTTTTGCAACAAAAGATCAGTTTTTGCGACAACAATTTTTTATCGCAAAATCAATTATTTTTTGTAGTGAATCCACCATAGCATTTGCCTTGCACTAGCAAATATGTACGTATGTAATTGGTAGGTTTGGTGAATAAGTTTCTCAAAAGAGATTAATTCTCCCAAGTTCATGTACACTTTTATATATTTTTGGGACTATTCAATGAATCTAGGAGTAAATAAATTACTAAAGTTGATGTACACTTATTTATTTTGAAAATTATTCGTTTAATTTATTATACAGATTATTCTCCAAGTTTACGTACACTTTTGTCTAAATTAATTTTCAAGATCACGATTATATAAATTATTATTTTTTGTTTATTCATTAGTTCAAATTAATTTAAATTCATATTCATGAATATATTTGAATGTTCTCATTAGTATTCGACGTAAATAAACTAATCTCTCAACTATTTAAATTTTCAAAAATAATTTAGACGTTTTTCTCATCACATTTTTTGGAATTTATTTGATGGGCTTTTTCTTTTGAAGATTTTTTTTTTAATGGTTATAATTTTTTATTTTTTATTTTTTTTAAGTGGGCAATAATTTGATTGTATGAATCATAGATATTGCAGATTTTGAAGGAGTTCAAGAACTTCAGAACAATCCTTCTACTCACAGAATACTAAATAAGAAGCAAAAGAAGATTATTGGTGATATTTTGCTTGATATTCTAGACTTGTACGATAGAGATATTATACAACTATTATCATCATTTGTTGGAAGCTATTATTTTTTTAGTATTGTGAAACTAAGTGCAATATATGATATTCAAAATTCCATGCTAATCGTGTGATACGCCTGAATTTTTTCACATTATGTTACTTGATGAATAAAAAGTTCATTGCACATAAACAATTTGTATTGATTATTTTTTATATTCAAACATATTCAAATATTACTTCTATAACACTTATAAAATATTTCAGAATAACATGCAATGCACGCTCAACATAATTCATTCATGGATTGTTCTTTGTCAAATTATTAATAGTTGAATATTGTTCCATTTTCTTGTTTTTGCGATTTGGCCACTGTAGTAATCTATTTCATCAAATAGCTAATGATTGTGTAGTAACTTAACCACTAGATAGAGATATATTAATGAATTTGTGTCTTAAACTTGGTGATATGGAAAGGCGACAGAAATTAATTCTTGGAGTCTTTGAAATCCTAACTTTTCCTTCACTGGTTCAAAATTTAAATGAAATGTCTTGCCAGTAACTGTTGTTATCTATTAATTGATAAACTTTATAATGGTACTTAAGATGAGTTAATATATATTTTGATCTAATAAGACCACAATAAATAATAAATATGTAGAAGTCCTTTTAATCATGACAATGAACTAGGATTTCTGGCACGTTAATTTCGTAGATGGCTAAGGATATCTCCACTTGCCATTCTAAAAATAAAATACTAAGGATTTCATTTAAGTAAACCTCCCCCCATTTTTCAGGTGTATGTCATATAGTTAAACATATAAATGCATTATCATATTTGTCCTTATGTTAACATGATATTATTTGATTATTATGCTTTGTGTCATTGATGTTTTTCATTTCATATTTATACATGTCAATGCATACATGATGTTTCAAGAAACAAAATTTTTCAAATGTCAATGAGTCAAGAAATGTTTTTAAAGATATGTATCCTCTAATGTTTTTATTATAAGGTGTATGTCTATGCCATGAAAAGTGTGAGTGGAAAATGAGGGGTAGAGGATCAGTGCACCCGACCAATGTTCGATGAAAATGTTAATCTTAATTGCTTTGCAGTACTACTGTTAGGACTCGGCTGAGTTCCAAATACTAATTGTCCACTGTACTCTAATTGGTTAGATGATATACCAAGTGAGCTAACGACATCAATGTTAAGTTTTTAAAGAAATGAAAGAAATGGAATATATATTGAAAAATACTTTTATTTTAAAGTAATTCACATGCATATCATGAGCATATGCATCATATACATAAGGTTTGCTTATTGAGGTTAACTCATTTCACGTTATCCCTTCCCATTTTCAAATGATGAAAGCAAGATGATTCGAGATGATTACTTGTGGTGACATAAACTCAGTACTCATGATATTGGATTAGTTTTGTAAATAAGTTTTACATACAAATTAACTGTCTTAAGTTTTTATTAAGTACAAATTATTTTAAAATAATAAGTCATTGATGTTTATTATATTAAAGAAAAATTGAATCGTCTTTTCCACATTTATGATTTCAAGAAAATGAAATGGTAATACGTCTAAATCTGGGGTATCTAAATTTGGAGGTGTTATATTACCACATTTCTTGAACTAGGGTTAAGGGTTCGATACACCACTCATCACCCCCCAAATATCCTCTCTTTTTCTCTTTTTAGCATAAGGCAAACACTACGGTTTTTAACCATCTGGCAACCTGAAGCAGTTCTATTTTTCGGTTCGGGAACAAAATTTTTCAAATTCTTTTTACATAATAAACGATCTCCAAAATACATGAAATTTAAAGAGAAGGTACATGACTTGTGTGACATATCCACAAATCAGTTCCTGCCAACGGCCAGGGGCGGATGTAGCTTATGGCCAGCTAGGGCAGCTGCCCTAGCTGGCTTCATCGGAACCGCCACGCCGACTGCCGAAAAGTCAGTTTTTTTTTCCTTCAGAATTGGGCTTCATCGGAACCGCCACGCCGACTGCCGAAAAGTCAGTTTTTTTTTCCTTCAGAATTCAGACGTTCAGTGGCTTGGGTGTTGGGCTGTTGGCTATTGGGCTTCAATTTTTTTTTTTTTTAAATTCGGCCCAATTAAAGAAGCCCAAATGACCTGCAGCCTGCTCCACTCCAATATACCCAAATTTTTACAATTACAACCCGAAGCAGAGCCAAAGGCACAGACACAGTGACCAGATTGAAGATTCCCAGATTTTTCCCCAAATTGCCACCACCCACCATTACCATTTACCAATCTAGGGCTCTCCCCATCTTAGCCGTCAACCACCGGTCCACCAGTCCACCACTACCACATGCCACAGCAGCCAGCAGACACTACAGCGCCACTCGCCAGGTCCGCCAGATCGCCACCGAGTCCAGTGAAGCAGGCAGCCCACACAGGTCGCACTCTTCTTCAAAAAATGCAAGATTCTTTTAGACTTTTAGTTATTTGATGTTCGGTGATTCATGCATGTGATATTGATCTAATTTTCCAAAAATCTTGGATTTCATTTTGGCTACAAGTCTGCAACTCCAGGCTCCAACTCTAAAATTTTTCTAATATTTTTCACATTTTTATATATTTTGCAATACTTGTGGGAATTTATTAAAGTGATTACTGATTATGTGAACTTCGAAGTAAATCTATGAATGAGTTGAAAATGTTATTGTACTGCACTCTGCACTATTGCATCGGCATCCATTGGACAATTTGGACCAGATTTTAATTTATTTTCCTCTTTAATGCTATTGTATTGGATAAGATTGGTCAATAGAATAGACAAGAAAATAATTTTTTAACTTATTTTTGTGTTTACTATTGTCTAAATATTGTGTAGTCCACCTAACCAAACACACAATTGGTGTTTAGGAGTTGGGTCTTAACAAAATATCGAATGAAAAATGGGAATAAATTGTTGCAATGTTAAATTGGAGGTACATAGGTTTGCTGTCAATTCAGTCCGGATGTTACTTTCTCTTTTGGGGTTCTCATTTGATTAGATATTTTATTGTTTGTTTACTTGATGGCTGCCTTCATTTTGAATGGCTATTGAAGGATTAGTGGTTTACACTTTTTTGTATTTTCAAAATTTATCTCATAAGTCATAAGTCATCAGTGGAGGAGATCCTATTGTATTGTCTATTGAGCAAATGAAAATGAAAATTGTTGAATTGTTGATCATCAGTGGAGGGGATTTTTTTGTTGAATTGTTGATTTTTTAATCAATTGTAATTGAAAATTAAATTGGGGCATTTTGCAGATTATGGAACGATTTTTTCAACTGAAACGAAAATCTATACCTAGTTCTCCTAGTTCTAGTTGTGCTTCTAGTCCTGCCACTGCTTCTAGCCGAGCACTCGAGTTGTTAAATAGCACAAAGAAGTCTCGGGCTCAATTCAATGTAGATGATCTTATATCTGATCCAGGAAAACGCCCCCCTATCGAGTCATATGATCTTAATATCAGAGATGATGTTATGATGGCATATTTGCAAAAAGGTCCTTGTCAACCACATGGACATGACTTGCCAAGAAGATGGATAGGAAATGATAATAGGTGTTTTCGAAGAGAATGGTTTTCTGAATTTTATTGGTTGGAGTACAGTATAGAAAATGATACGGCTTATTGTTTGCATTGCTACTTATTCAAACCAGATAGAGGGGGTCAAGGGGGTGGACATATATTCACTAAGACTGGCTTTAGGGATTGGAAGCACAAAGGTACATTGAAAGATCATGTCGAGCTCATTGATAGTGCTCATAATCAAGCTTTTGCAAAGTGTACCAATTTGATGAATCAAAAGTAAAGTATCTCCCATGTTATTTCTAGCCAAAGTAGTAGTCAACAAAAAAATTATAGGACAAGGTTGACTGTGGTGCTAGATTGTACTAGATTTCTCTTGATGCAAGGATTGTCATCTCGTGGTTATGATGAATCGAAAGAGTCTCTTAATAAAGGAAATCTGATTGAGCTACTAAATTGGTATGCAACTTGTCGTAAGAAAATTAATGAAGTACTATTTAGTAATGCTCCTGGAAATGACCAAATGACTTCACCAAGCATCCATAAGGATTTGGTTAATTGTTGTGCTGTAGAGACGACAAGGTCTATGATCAATGAGATGGGTGGTTCCTTGTTTTCAATTTTGGTTGATGAGTCTCGTGATAATTCTATAAAAGAATAAATGGCAGTTGTTTTGAGGTTTGTTAACAAAAGTGGACAAGTGAAGGAGTGTTTGTTGGGCATTTACCACATTGCTGATACTTGTGCCCAATCACTCAATGATGACATTGATGCAATGTTTTCTACACATAGGTTGAGCATATCTAGTCTGAGAGGTCAATGTTATGATGGAGCAAGTAATATGTCAGGTGAGTTCAATGGCTTAAAAACTTTAATTTTAAGAGAGAACCCATGTGCTATGTATATTCATTGCTTTGCTCACCAGCTTCAGTTGGCAGTTGTTTCTGTGGCACATAGGAATGTTATGCTTAGTGATTTATTTAACCTGCTTGCTATTATTGTTAATTTGGTTGGTGCATCATGTAAACGTGTAGATGCTCTTCGAACAAGCTATCATGTTGAAATTCTGGAGAAGCTTAATATTGAGGAACTTTCTGGTGGAACTGGTCAGTTTCAAGAAATGAGTTTGGCACGCCCAGGTGATACTAGATGGGGCTCACATCTAGAGACAGTTACTCGCTTTATTAGTATGTTTAATGCAATCATAGATGTTTTTGAGAATATATCAAAAGACAGCATAAGTTTACAGCAAAAATCAATGGCCATAAGACAGATGGACACTATGCAAAATTTTCAATTTGTGTTCAGTCTCCATTTTATGTTTGAAATTCTTGCAATTACAAACGACTTTTCACAAGCCTTATAGAAAAAGGATCAGGATATTTAAAATGCTATGAGATTATTGAAGTTGTGTAAGTACGCATTGCAGAACATGAGAGACAATGGTTGGGATACTTTGTTGAGTAAGGTAATTCAGTTTTGTGTTGATAGACATATTTCAGTGCCCTATATGGATGATATTGTAGTATTGAAAGGTCGACCTAGGCGTGCAAGTCAGCAAATGACTTATTATCATTGCTTTTATGTTGATTTATTTTGTTATGTGATAGATTCAATCTTGCAAGAGTTGAATGATCGTTTTCCAGAAACAACTACTGAGCTTTTTACTTGCATTTCGTGTTTAAATCCAAGAGATTCATTTGCAGCTTTTAATGTATGTAAATTGGTACGACTTGCTCAGTTATATCCTATGGATTTCAATAGTGAAGAGCTTTTATTACTTAGACCTCAACTTGACAAATTTTTTATACTCATGAGAATGGATGAAGCTTTCTTCAACCTCAAAAGCATATCTTGGGTAGCTCAAAAGTTGGTTGAAACTGGAAGTTCTTGATATTTTCCAATGGTTTATAGGCTGATCATATTGGTTTTGATATTACCTGTGTCAATTGCAAGTGTTGAAAGGGTATTTTCTGCTATGAATCTAATCAAGAATGATCTGCGTAACAAAATGGGAGATAAATTGTTGAATGACAATTTGGTAGTTTACATGGAGAGAGATCTTTTGTGAAACTTGAGAATGAGACAATATTGCAACGTTTTCAAAATATGCGACCTCGTAGAATTCAGTTGTCTAAGCTTGCAATTTCAGAGTAAGGTTGTATTGTATATTTTTTTAACATTTTGGGTTATATTAAACTATATTTTCATATATATATATTTTCTAGATTTTAGTGCATTTACATATATATTGAATAATTTTTAATATTATTTAATCTAATTTTAATAAACGATCGGCCGCCGACCGGACTAGGCTTTTATGATCGTCGATGGTCAATGGTCAAAATCAACCTCCGCCCTAGCTGAATGTTGGTGCTGAATTCGTCACTGTCAACGGCATTTGAGGCACTAAAATATATATTTTTAAAACTCGTATAGTCTCCATTTCCCTGTATAGCCTGACAAAGCTTACAAAAAATGCTATAACTAATTTTGGAAGCATCAAAATGACCTGATTCCAAGTTCGGCAAGTAGATAACTCGTGAGGTTGTCTAAAGACTAAAGTCCATTGATTTCACTCATAAATTCCAAGTACCCAGTGTGCCACACATTTTTCAATGAGGGGCAGAAAGCATGAAACATATTATAATGGAAATACATATTATAATGGAAATTAATATTTCATTCCATCAACTGAAGCATAAAAATTTCCATTCTTTAAGTTTATAATAGAGGGCTAAACCCCGTGAGTTTAAAACATGAAAGAAATCATAGTAGCATCCCCGATGTTAAATGCAGAAAATTCTATGTATAGCTTTTATATTGTCACAGGTAGTTGGATTTTCAAAAAAGGTCCAGGTTTTGTCGAACTTTCAAAACACGTAGAGCCGAAAAGTGATCATTCACAAAATGTCGTACCCATACTATTTCGTACATGAATTTCGAAAATTAAAAATTCAGCTACTATGTATACACGTGTACCTCAACCTACCCTAATTAGCTGCTTTTGGAAATGTTAAGGTATATACACGTGTACCTCAACCTACCCTAATTAGCTGCTTTTGGAAATGTTAAGTTGGATGGTGAAAATCGTGTATGTCATGTTGTGATAAAATAACATTTTTTAATAAATAGATTGTAATTTTATTTATAATATTTATTTATTAACTAGCATGTGAATTAAAATGACCATGATACTCACAATAATATAAGTCGAGTGCTTGCATCGAGAAGCACAATGTGATACAACTTATATTTTGAACATAAATATTTAATTCATAATCAATATACAAGGGTTGACAATTTGTGCTAAAATGTTGTAGTGTTAACTAATTCACTATTTTAATATGTGATTTGTTCTAATCGTGAAAATAGTTAGAAATGACACTATTACACTTAAGATATATTGAACATATATGTCAAGTTTATTTCTATATCATGATTTTGATTCATTTTGACTATATTATTATTTGTTGATTTTTTGATTTACTAATGTGTGAGACAATTTGATTGATTAAATAATTCAATAAGTTAGGAATTTGAGAATGAACGAAGTAAAGAACTTGAATTCATGTTCAAAATTACCGCCTTGAATATTAACTTATTTAATTTTATATATTTCAAGATTGCAGTTTTTGGTCTTTGGAGTATAAAGCAAGACTAATAAATAGATTGAGTGGTCTAGGATCGACTAGACATGTATAATTATTGGAGCTTCCATAATACATGTCCGATTAGGTTTGTATGGTAGCTCCATAAAGTATTTGAGAGCTTAATTGCAATTACTATAAAGTTTTGAGCTTGCTTTAAAAGTTTTGGACTCAATTATAATTGCTAGAAATGTTGTAAACTTAATTATGTTTGTAGTTGAAATTCGAGGACTACGCTTATAATTAAAGTTATTGACTAAAATTTTGACTTTCTTTGGAACTCCAATTCAGAGATTATGCGAAATTCTTATTGCGCATGGATTAGAGCTCTTTCTGTAATGACCTAAATTTTGAAATTTGAAATTAGTACAAAAACAACAATGTTTCTTTAAAAAATTTGGGTTAAATTAAAATTTTCTTAATTTTCTTTTAACTTTTAGTTACCTATGCATTCTATTATATGTTCTAAAATTTATTGATAACAAATTATTTAGGATATATAACTTTGATTTGTTAAATAGCAAAACTAAAATAGAAGGTTCTAATGAATGTTAGCAAGGAATTAAATTCAGGAATGCACTATCGAACGATCAAGCTTAGTAGGACTATTTATTTGATTTATAATTTTTATGAAATTTTTACATTAGTTTCTTATCTCGTTCACTCCAATTGACTCTCAAAAAAAAAAAAAAAAAAAATTCCTGTTCTCGGATACACTGAACATAGCACATGAAAAATGGCATAACTTATCCTACTGACCTTCAATTGACTTCATTCCAAAGCCAATAGATAGAGGACTCATAGGACTTTCAAACTTTACTAGTTTTGTCAAAAATTCAAAAAATTCAGTCCGAAATGACGTGACAAAATTCAGATAGGAAGTTGAAAATTTTTGTTTACAAGTCTAACGTTTAACCTTAACTTCTTTAACAAATTTAATTATATGCGTACTTGAATCAAGTAACAATATAAATGTTCACAACAGGGAAAAGAACTAACATCTTGTAAAATTTAAACGTAAGTTGCGTAACTAGTAAGAACTAGAAACTTTTCAAATGTGACAAACTAAACAAATGAAGCGCCTTTTTCCCTTCGGATCCTCCGCAATCCACGTAAATCTCACTTCCTCAACCATTCTATAATTTGAAAATTTTGTCAACATAGGAGATGTGAACTTTAAACTCGGTAAGACTAATATCACATGGTGGTGCACCCTTCCAGTCTTAAATATATATACATATATACAAAGTGATAGGAAAAAAATTTATCATTTCACGTAGATGAATACTAACAAATTCATGATTCCAAAGAATCCCTTGAGATCATAAAAACCAATTATGGCCGTACGTGAACTTCTTTGTTCATAAGTTCAAAAATTCTAACACATATCAAAAGTGTGTATATATATATATATACATAATGAACAAAAAGGGTAAATACTTAACACAACCTACCTTGATTTTTTAGAATATAAAGGAACAAAATGTGTAAAAGCTTTTTCTCTTTCACACACTCACTATTCCTTTAAACTTAACTTAACATAAAAGATATATTTTAGAGAAAATAAGAGTAAATTCGGATTTGAGGAGAGGTGTAGCGAAAAAGAGATTTTCCTCTTCTTGTAACCTCATTTTTTAGTGAAAAACTAAATGGGAGAATTATATTATCATTATCCTTGCTAAATTAAATCTTTTGCTAAGAATTTGAAGAGTTTTAAACCCATAAAAAATAATTCTTATAAAAAGTTTTACAAAATATTTATATAATGAAAAATAGAGGAAAATGAACTATTCATATGATTTGTAACTTATCTCTACGAATGTCAACTAATAAAATAATTATTTCATCCAATTAACTTGATATAATTATTCTTAATATACAAAATGAGGAGTTTTAAACTCAAAAATCATTTTATAAGAATATTTTATAAAAACAACTGCTTCGTGATTCGAATCTAGGTTGCCTATGCAAAATAACATGCCAATGATCATTGTGACAACCCAGCTATTAGTTAAATATTTGTAATCAAATTTATTTAAATTTAATGCCTTAAATTGTTGGACTTTTAAATAACTTATGGCTTAGACTTTCAAAACCTTAAATGGGCGGAACTTCCATAGCTCGTTTCTTAAATGAGCTACATCAACCAACTTAAGAACATAAAATTCGGGACCTTACAGCTCTTTTATGTTTATAAATAGAGATTATAGGGAACAAAAATCGATAACATTAATTCTTTCATAGCATTCAAATTTAGAGAGAGCGAAATGTTTTCTTCTTTTTTGATATGTTCAGTCTGAAATTACTTTCTGAATTTAATTTAAAAAAGATGTCCACATGTTGGTGTAGTTTTGACTTTTAAAAATATCATAAAAGATTTGAAGTTTTGAAGAATCATGTTCTTGAAATAAAAAATTGGAGTTCGTGATACAAATCTTATCAAAATTTGATTAGCGAATTTATGTAAATTCTTAGTCTTTAATTTGATTACAACATACAGAGGAATGTCTCTAGTAACGATTTTGAATTCTTGAACAAAAGAAAGTCTTGTTGTTTAGGTAATTTTTTTCCGCATTTAAACAATTTCTACGACACCTGTTCCTTTAGAAATCTGACTTTTCTTTTTATAATTCATGAAACATATCATAAATTTATTCACTAATTAATCAGTATTTCATGTCACCATGTGCTTATGCTTAAGAGATTTGTCTGTATGTGTTTGTTTTGTTAAAAAAAAATCATATTTTCAGTAAATTTTCTATTTTTTTACAATTTATTAAATTTTATTTTTTGAATTTTGAATTTTTGGAATTTTTATATAAATAAAATTTTATTTAAATGCTTATTTCCCATATTATTGTGTTTCAACTTTTATATTATAAGTTTAAATGGTCTTCGAAAATATGCCCCTGTTTGGCCCCCATTATAAATGGGTTTATAATGGAGAAATAATATTTTTTTTTGAAAAATAAATGGTTGTAAAAGAATGAAAAATTTTCGATTTGTATGTAATATTATTTTATTGAAAGGTTGTGTAATTGAAAATAAGGGAGGGAGAAATTTAAATTAAACTGAAGAGTTTTAGAGGGGGCCAAACGGATTTCATAAATACCATATCAAACAAGTTTATAGCTAAATTTAACATTGACTATAGGGAAAAAAAAAAAATATCCCATTGTTTGTAGATCAAAGTCTAATTGGCGATTGATCTTGTATTTATACAACCCTAATTATTATGACCGTT